TTTTTGAGAACTTGTTACAGTAGCCCGAGGACACTAACACAAATGGGGCTCCAGGAAAATCCAGATGAAAGGTGCTGTGTTGGTTTGCAATCTCCTTGCTTAACTTTCTGACACTAGACATAAATAGATTGGTGAAAAATTTTATGATTGAAGAAATGCACATGAAACCTAGTGTACAGAGAGGCATCTGTTAGTTATAAGATAAATATTGATAATTTTAGATGAAAATGACATATGACTGGTAATATCTCACATCAAGTGAGCTTAGCCCAACCACCTTGGGTACACGTTCTCAAGACCTTCTGAGGCTGTTTCACTTATATGTCTTTAATTTTGACCAAATAAATTTCTAAATTGATTGAGATTTTTCTCAGATACTTTTTTGTTTATAGATATCACTGTATACACTTAAGGAAGTGAAGAGATTTATGACCTTGAGAAAATGAGGAAGACAAGATGTGTGGGGAGAGAGAGAGTGAGAAATAGTTTGAACTTGTGATGTGTGTATAGGACTAAAACTGAGACCTTGATCTATGACGGTGTAGTACTGAGTATCATTCCCAAATAGTGAGGTTTCATTCCAAGAAACATATGCCTGTATCTGATTTGGGAAAAGGGCTTTTGCAGGTATAAATTAAGGAACTTGAAACAGGGAGATGATATTAGATTAATCAAGTGGGTCCTAAATGTGAACACAAGTGTCCTGAGAAAAAAAGAGGTAGAGAGACATTTACCATAGACTGAAGAGGAGAAGGCAATCTGAACACAGAGATAGACATGGCAATAATGTGTCCACATCCAAGGAGAACTGAAGCCACCAGAAGCTGAAAGAGCTAAATCAGACTCCTTCCTAGAGCTTCTGAAGGAGCTAGAACCGATGTCTCCAAGACCTTAGCCCAGTGAAACTGATTCTGGACTTCTGGTCTCCAGAACTATGAGTGATTCCATTCCTGTTGTTTGAAGCTACCACATTTTTGAGACTTGTTACAGTAACTCGAGGACACTAACACAAATGGGGCTCCGGGAAAATCCAGACTACAAGTGCTGTGGTGGTTTTTCAATCTCCTTGCTTAACTTTCTGATATTAGACATAAATAGATTGGTGAAAAATTTTGTGATTGAAGAAATGCACATGAAACCTACAGTGTACAGAGAGGCATCTCTTAGTTATAAGATAAATATTGATAATTTTAGTTGAAAATGACATGACTGGTAGTATCTCACATAACATTCTGAGTTACTCAAGGATGCATAAAAGGGGCATTAGATACTCTTCTCGCGTGTGTGTGTGTGTGTGTCTGTCTATACATGTATGTTCACTTAATGGTGCATCAGCTGGTGGAACCCTCAGGACACCCTTTCATATCCTCAGTGCCCCATTTCACACATGAGGAACCTGTTCATGAGAGCACATGGCTGATTTGCATAAAAGTCACTTGGTCAGCAGTTGTTGAAGTTGAACTTGGAATCTAGGTCTGTCTGACCTTAACTATGTTCCTTCCACAGAGCCACATTCATTCCATAGAGGACCCCACCACCTATAAAACTAGAGAAGAGGCAAAGCCAGAAATGCGTGGTGGAGTTCTTAACACAAACTCACTGCGAATTCTAGTCCCCATCACGCTGACACTAAGCTTGAACCCAGACCCTTCTACAGTTTTGTCTACAAAGCACAACTTGCTCAAAGCCTTTATAAACACCAAGAACCTTTCCTTCAGATATGGCAGCAGGGTCACATCTTACATGGTGCTCACCACATTTAGTCACCTCTGCCACCCCCATCTCTCTGACTCAGTCCTTGCTTACAGCCATAAAAAATGGTGAGTTCATGTCCTTTCTTGGGACATGGATGAAGCTGAAATCCATCATTCTCAGCAAACTATCGCAAGAACAAAAAACCAAACACCACATGTTCTCACTCATAGGTGGGAATTGAATAGTGGAAACACTGGGACACAGGGTGGGGAAATCACACACCGGGGCCTGTTGTGGGGTAGAGAGAGGAGGTAGGGATAGCATTAGGAGATATACCTAATGTAAATGACAAGTTAATGGGTACCGCACAGCAACATGGCACATGTATACATATGTAACAAACATGCACATTGTGCACATGCACCCTAGAACTTAAAGTATATATAAAAAAAATGATTGGGTCTTGTACATCTAATTTTCCCTATGAATGTTAAAACAACAAACCTACAGCCCTCTCCTCTGCTCATGTGCTGTGAGAGATGACCTCCAGGCTCCCAGATACCAAGATTGTACAAGACCTAACCCACAGAATTACTCGAGATAGTTTGTATGTAAGAAGAATTGTGGTGCAGCTCTCCTCATAGAAAAAGTGGTTTCTATCTCTCGTTGAAATTGACAGCAAAAGACAACAACATATAACTATTTGGGAGAACAGAGGACAGTGATACACTGGGGAAGTAAAACACACCCCTTCCCCTTGCATTGGTTTCCTGTTGCTGCTGTAACAAATTACCACAGCCTTACTGGCTCCACATAACACAAGTGTATTATCTTATATTTCTGGAGGTCAGAAGTCTCAGTGAAGTAAAATCAAGGAGTAATAGGGCTCTATTCATTCTAGAGTCTTCAAGAGAGAGAATCCAATATCGAGTGTCCCATCTTTTTGATGTTCCCATGTTCCTGGCACCAAGGCCATTTCCTCCATCACTCCAGTTTCACTCTCCGTTGTCCGAGGTCCCCTCTGGCTGTTACCCTCCTCCCTCCCTATTATAAGGACCCTTGTGATTATGCTGGTCTCACCCAGATAATTCAGGAAACTCTCCTGACCTCAAAATTCTCAACTTAACCATATCTGCCAAGTTATTTTTGACATATTAATAAGTAATAATCATATATTCCAGATATTAGGACAATGATGTCTTCAGGAGGGGTGTATTATTCATTCCCCAAACAACTTTCATCATCCCCACAATGGTCTTCCCCTAAAGTAGAATAAAAATATCACAAGGCAGATTTATGAGGCAATAGACCTAGAAAAAACCTGAGACTCTAGGACTCTCTGATGTGTGGATGTCAAATTCTGGGGGATTCGAACTCTCTGCTCTATGTGGACTCTGGTGTGTAGCCATTTGTGGAAGGCTTCTTTGATTTTGTGACCTAGAAAAAATGAATCTCTGCTAAAATCAAATCTAAGAAAGATTGGCAAAGGAGATTTAAAGATTTCTTGAATTTTAGGAATTTCCTTATGCATTAAAATGATGCCCTCCAAGAATGAGGATTTTTCCAATGCATTAGGTTGGGTCCCCTCAGTGAGAAGGATGCCAAAGATTCCCATGCAGCCAGTATATTTTCAATGTGCAGGAAATAAGCAAGTGAGCAAGGGAAGAGAGGAGGGAAAGGGAAAGTGAAAGGTACCTCAGCAAAGAGCCACCTCTGAGGATGACGAGAGCTCAAGCCCTCATGGAAACTCCGGAAAAAGGCCTCTGTTATTCCACCTGAGAGGTGAGGGAGCTGGGGTATGTGTACATCTCCTATGTCATCAGAGATTGATAGCCATCCTAGAGGATGCTAATTCCAGGCCATGATGTTTGCCTCATTTGCAGCCTGAGCTGCCTTCCCCAGGTTCAGATAGAGCCATGATGAGGAGAAAGGGCCATAGAGAGTCAGCCGGAGTGTAATGACATGAATCCCCAAGGCGTAGTAACAATGACTGCTAAAATTATGCAGAAAGAAAGAAGTGCATTTGAATCCAGAGATGTATCTCTCTGAATCTGGATATCTGGATCCTGGTAACCTGTTTGGTAGCCATTTCCCAGAAATCCAGTCCCCTGGAAAAGCAGCAGGAGGTTTGTGCACAGACTGCACTACCTTGGTCTGGCCACTGGTAGTCGTGCATGAGAACTTCTCCCTAGAGTATTTCTCAGTCCACTGATACTGATGTAGTTGGTTCCACTTCCCCTGCTGTTGAGTGAGGATGACTTGTCCTGGGGAAAGGCAGCAGTGTGAGGTATTGAGGTTCAAATCAGAGCTCAAAATATATTTGGATGCAAAATACTTTTTCGTCTACATGGGCAGTGTCTTGGCGGAAGATGGAGATTCTCTCTAAATGGATGTGAGACAGGGAGGCTGGCATCTGGGTCAGGATGATGCCCTGGTGCACGGCAAGAACATGCGTTGGGCAGCAGCCACCCTCACTAAGGAGAGAGGTTCACTGACCTGGCCTTTCCCCAGGGCCTCCCCCTCACCTGCTCTCCAGAAAGCCAGGTTCTTGGGCAGATGCTCCTGAGACCCCAGGAACAGGCTGATGGGGAGCACAGCTCAGAGCATTACTCAGGGGATGTGACCTTTGTCATCCTACTTCGAAACAATTGATTATTTGAGCCAAGATTCAGAGAGGGCTTCAAGTTGATCCTAATGCAGGCTCCTATAGTCAGCGAGTGAAACAGAGATTTTAGTTGAAATAATCAGACCTGGTATTACTAGTCAGCTCTCCATGCTGGAGAACCACAAGAAATTATACCAAAGTCAGGAAAGGGGATAGAATATGGGGATCGTCACGCCAAGAATAAGGTGCAGCCTATTTTGTCCCTGGCTTCAAAGAGACCCATAACTCTGGCTAATGGAAGATCTATGCGTGACACACTTATCATCTTTGTGCGTCGTTAGTGAATTGTTTTTCCTTGAACTGCTAAGAACAATGTCTTAAGTTTATTAGTAAATTCTATTGCATTTATTGAAGATGCTTCTGATAAGTTCTTTTTACATTCATTTCAAAAAAGAAGCAATGTCACACTGACAGAGACATTGTTAGTATCGCACTAAATACTTTCACACTCATCACAATCCTTTGAGAGTAACTGAAAGTTCTGACAGCCCCACGTTCTACAACTTTATTATGAATTTTCTGCCAAAAATGATGCTTTCCTATACACTCCTAACACAAGCGTAAAATATGTTATTTAATCTAGTCTTAGGTTCATTTAAAATGAAATGAGTTCTAGTCTTACGTTCATTACAATTTTGAAAATTAACTCAAAAAATATGTTCTGTAACCATATGGTCCCCAAGGAGAAATGTATTCTCTCAAGGCAAATCTGCACTGCCCTGGTCTGACCTGGGACTCTGGGGACACTGCCCCTGTGCTGAGTTGCTGAGATGAGCCAGCCCTGCAGCTGTGCCCAGTCTGTCCCATCCCCTGCTGATTTGCATGTTCCCAGAGCACAACCCTCTGCCCTGAAGAATTCTTTATAGGCTGATCACACCCTGTGCAGGAGTCAGTCTCAGTCAGGACACGGCATGGACATGAGGGTCCCCGCTCAGCTCCTGGGGCTCCTGCTGCTCTGGCTCCCGGGTAAGGAAGGAGAACACTAAGAATGTACTCATTCAGTGTGCTCTGTACTGTCTGACTCTTCAGGTAAATCCTCTGATAACATGATTAACTGTAAGAATATTTGTTTTTATGTTTCCAACCTCAGGTGCCAGATGTGACATCCAGATGACCCAGTCGCCATCTTCTCTGTCTGCATCTGTAGGAGACAGAGTGACCATTACTTGCCAGGCGAGTCAGAGCCTTAGCAATTATTTAAATTGGTATCAGCAGAAACCAGGGAAAATTCCTAAGCTCCTGATCTATAGGGCATCCAGTTTGCAAAGTGGAATTCCCTCTCGGTTCAGCGGCAGTGGATCTAGGACGGATTACACTCTCACCATCAGCAGCCTGCAGCCTGAAGATTTTGCCAGTTATTACTGTCAACAGGGTTATAGTTACCCTCCCACAGTGTTACAAGTCATAACAGAAACCCCCAAGGAAGCAGATGTGTGAGGCTGGGCTGCCCCAGGGCTCCTTCTGGTGCCTCTATCTGCTGAGGGCATTTCTCACAGTCACGTTTTGATAGTCATTGGGAGATTTTCCTAGAGGGGGCCAGGGAGGTTCCTCTGAACCCTAAGCCTCTTTCTCTCTCATCCCCAGCAGAAAAGATGTGACAATGTCTGTCTTGGCAGAATAAATAAGAGCGATAAGTTCACCTGAGGATAGTCTGTGTTATGGGACAATTGGAATTTCTACAGCAAAAGAGAAGTTGTTCTCAGTATTTCAAGAAGAAATTGTTCAAGTTCAATAAATTAGAGTCTAAACCACTGTCTTTCCAAAGCCTACCATATGTTATTCATGAAGCAGGTACTAGAGACAGGGGATTCTCAGGTCCTCCTCCAGAAGCCGGAGTGCCCCTGCCCCTGGTGGTATGTACTGAGTACCGTGTGATGACCCTCAGACCTGTTTGGCAAGCCCAGGGCGGGGTTGCTGATGCTCTCAGCTGCCTGCAGCACGTCTCCAGGTGATTCTCCAGTCCACACCTAACTGCATGTGTTTTACTTCAGGTATCAGTGTACATGAATCCACCATTCTGACTTCCCAATCTCATGACAGTGGTAAGTTGTAACTTATTGCAATCTCATTGAGCAACTCTGAAGAAACCACAGAGAGAAAAGGAGTTCGTGTCCTTTTCTGGGAGAAAAGGAAAGTGTGCTCCCAGAAGTGATAGTAATGATGGGGAATTGACAGCTGACAGGGAGGTAAGGTGAGTCTTTCCACAAGGCTCAACATATTGCCAGTTACGAATTGTCGCAAAATACATTTGAATGTCCTTTCAAGTATTATGAGTTTGGGGTCATAGCTGGAAAATGTGATTAAGTCACAGATAAAATGGGAAAATCAGGAAATTGTATGAAATATGCAATAAGGCTATGTGTGATGGCTCAGGTCTGTAATCCTGTGATAGTTAATACTGATTGTCAATTTAATTTGGTTGAAGGATGTAACCATTGCTCCTGGGTATGTCTGTGAGGGTCCTGCCAAAGGAGATTGATATTTGAGTCAGTAGGCTGGGGAAGGCAGACCCCCCCCACAACTTAATCTATCTCTGCCAGTGAATATGAAGCATCTAATCAGCTGCCAGTGAATATGAAGCAGGCAGAAAAAGTTGAAAAAGTGAGTCTTGCCCAGCTTCCTAGCCTACATCTCTCTCCTGTGCTGGATGCTTCCTGACCTCGAACATTGGACTCCAAGTTCTTCAGTTTTGAAACTCAAGCTGACTCTCCTTGCTCCTCACTCCTCATGCTTGCAGACAGCCTACAGTGGGACCTTGTGAACCTGTAAGCTAATATGTTATATATATATACATGCACACGTACATATATGTATATATATACACACACACATGCACACACACACGTATAACTAATGCATGAACTTATTAGTTCTGTCCCTCTAGAGAACCCTCACTAATACAGATTTTGGTACCAGGAATGGTTCTACAGGAACAGAATATTAAGAATGGAGTTTTTTGTTGGTTTTGGGGTTTTGGGATTTGGCTGCTAAATATGATTAGACCCCAAAATGCTAAGGACTCTACTTTTAATAGTATGGAGAACATTGATAGTCCTTGGCATGAACAGTTTAAAGAGCTATGCAAAATAAATGCATTTGACACTAATGAATCATCTCTCATGAGAGGCAAGGAGTTTAGTGACTCTGTACCTAATACCCTTGACAAACACCTTGCAAAATGGATTTGTGAGGGCAGCACCTGCATCTTTGAAGAGCCCTGTAATGGCTCTTCTCCGTATGTCAGATCTAGCGGTGAGAACTGTACACACTCAATTACAAAATTTAAATACAATTTGGAATAATTGTATCCTGAAGCAGCAGGGGCCAAGTGGTCACACACAACCCTCAAAGGCACGGTGGGCGTAGCTACTGTAATGGACAGAAAAGACAAGGCAGCAATCTGAACAGTGTAACTCATATAGAGTTCTGGCATTGGCTAATTAACCACAGTGTTCTTAGAAGTGAAACTGATAGGAAGCCTAATGCATTCCTACTTAATTTATGTAAGGAGGAAACTTCAGGTCAAACAGATAAAAGACTAATTGGAATTGTAAAAACAGAGATTCATGGCCCCTCAATCAATTTCCAGACTTGAGGCAGTTTAAAGACCAAGAACCCCATGAATGAAGGGGAGGCCGGGTCCCCTTGAGGTGTCCATGGCAGATAGGAATGCTGCTTTGAGGCTGTGGCAGGCCCCCACAGGTGAATCATGGTGGAGACACTTGGATTTTGCAGCAAGGCCCGGTCATCTTCTGGAGTTAACTACTCTCCTTTTGAGAGACAGCTCTTGTCCTATACTGGGCTTCGGTGGAAACTGTATGTTTGACTATGGGTCAACAAGTCACCATGCAACCTGAACTGCCTATCGTGAACTGGGTGCTTTCTGATTCATGTAGCCATAAAGTGGGTCATGCGCGGCAGCATTCCATCATCACATGGAAACGGTATATAAGTGATTGGGCTCAAGCAGGTCCTGGGGACACAAGTAAGTTACATGAGGAAGTGGCCCAAATGCCCATGATCTCTACTCCTGCCACCCTGTCTTCTTTCCCACAACCTGCACCGATGACCTCATGGGGACTTCCCTTTGAGCGGCTGACAGAGGAAGGGAAGACTAGGGCCTGGTTCACAGATGATTCTGCACAATAGGCAGGTACCACCTGAAAGTGGACAGCTGAAGCACTACAGCCCTTTTCTAGGACATCCCTGAAGGACAGTGGTGAAGGAAAATCTTCCCAGTGGCCAGAACATTGAGCAGTGCACCTGGTTGTGTGCTTTGCATAGAAGGAGAAATTTCCAGATGTGTGATTATATACTGATTCATGGACTGTAGCCAGTGGTTTGGCTGGATGGTCATAGAATTGGAAGAGGCATGATTGGAAAATTGGTGACAAAGAAATTTGGAGAAGGAGTATATAGATGGACCTCTCTGAGTGGTCAAAAACTGTGAAGATATTTGTATCCCATTCACCAACAAGTGACTTCAGTAGAGGAGGATTTTGATAATCAAGTGGATAAGATGATCCATTCTGTGGATACCACTTATCCTCTTTCCCCAGACACCCCTGTCATCATCCAATGAACCCATGAACATTGTGGCCATAGTGGGAGGGATGGAGGTTATGCATGGATTCTGCAACGTGGACTTCCACTCACCAAGACTGTACTGTCTGTGGTCACTGCTGAGTGCCCAATTTGCCAGCAGGAACAGAGACCAACAATGAACCCATTGTATGGCACCATTCTGTGGGGTGATCGACCAGCTACCAGGTGTCAGGTTGATTATATTGGACCTCTTCCATCATGGAAAGCAGAGAGGTTTGTCCTCACTGGAATAGGCACTTACTCCGAATATGGATTTGCCTACCTGCACACAATACTTCTGCCAAGACTACCATTTATGGACTCAAGCAATGCCTTATCCACAATCATAGTATTCCACACAGCATTACCACTGACCAAGCACTCACTTTACAGGTAAAGAAGTGGGACAATGGGCTTATGCTCATAGAATTCACTGGTCTTACCATGTTCCCCATCAACTTGAAGCAGCTTGTTTGACAGAACGGTGGAACGGCCTTTTGAGGTCACATTTACATCAACTAGGTTACAATACTTTGCAGGGCCGGAGCAAAGTACTCCAGAAGGCCATGTATGCTCTGAATCAGCACCCAATGTATGGTACTGTTTCTCCCATAGCCAGGATTCACAGATCCAGGATTCAAGGGGTGGAAGTAAAGTGAAACCATTCACTCTCACCCCTAGTGATCCACTAGCAAAATGTTTGCTTTCTGTTTCCGCGACATTATGTTCTGCTGGGCTAGACATCTTAGTTCTAGAGGGAAGAACACTGCCACCAGGAGACATAATAATGATTCCATTACACCGGAAGTTAAGTTGGCCACCTGGACACTTTGGGCTCCTCCTACCTTTAAGTCAACAGGCTAAGAATGGAGTTACAGTGTTGGCTGCGGTGATTGACCCAGACTATCAAGATGAACTCAGTCCACTACTCCACAATAGAAGTGACGAAAAGTATGTATGGAATATAGGAGATCCATTAGGGTGTCTCTTGGTATTGTCATGCACTCTGATTAAGGTCGACCTGCTGAGGTGCTTGCTGAAGGCAAAGGCAATACAGAATGAATAGTGGAAGAAGGTAGTGATCAATATCAGCTATGACCATGTGACCAGCTGCAGAAAGGAGGACTGGAACTATCATGAGTATTTCCTTCTTCTTTTGTTAAAAACATATTTGTGCATGTATACACTTGTACTAAGAAATTATCTTCATTTCCAGTTTCTCTATCAGGTGACATAAGATTTATTGACCTCATATGAGCATTTAGGTATTATTCATTTTGTGTAATAGTTTTTGGGTTGGGGATTGGTGCATTTCCAGTTGTAGGAAGCATAGTTGTATTATGTTAGGGGTAACTATGACCTTACTATTGTCTGTATTTTAACATTATGTTTGATCTCAGGAGATGTGTGTGGGTTCCAGTTGACAAGGGGTGGGCTGGTGATGGTTAATACTGAGTTTCAATTTGATTGGATTGAAGGATGTAAAGTGTTGATCCTCGGTGTGTCTGTGAGGTGTTGCCAAAGGAGACTAACATTTGAGTCAGTGGGCTGGGAAAGGCAGATTCACCCTTAATCTGCGTGAGCACAATACAATCAGCTGCCAACACAGCTAGACTATAAGCGGGCAGAAAAATGTGAGAAGAGACGAGCCTAGCTTCCCAGCCTACATCTTTCTCCTGTGCTGGATGCTTTCTGCCCTCAAACATGGACTCCAAGGTCTTCAGTTTTGGAACTCTGGTAGGCTCTTTTTGCTCTTCACCCAGGAGATGGCCTATTGTGAGACCTGGTGATTGAGTGAGTTAATACTTAATAAACTTCCTGTATTAGTGAGTGACATCTAGAGGCAAAGAACTAACAGGAGATAGATAGATAGATAGATAGATAGATAGATAGATAGATAGATACACACACACACATATATGTGTGTGTGTGTGTATATATATATATATGGATGTTTACTAACTTAAAGGATCATAAGTTCCACAATGGGCTGTCTGCAAATCCATGAGAAAGGAGAGCTGGTCTGAGTCACAAACTGAAGAACATGGAGTCCAATGTTCTAGGGCAAAAAGCATC